CCATTTGTATCGTTTATGCAAAGATATAATATTGTTACAGATTTTGTTTACATTTGGCACATTATTGGCAGTTATTACTTTTTAGATCGAAAAATTACAATATTTTAAAGAAAATAGTATGGGTGCCATTTAATTGAGTAAATTTAATAAACATTTTACTAAACCTTCTGAGCGCTTATTAAAAAATTATTTAAATGCGTTTTTTGGGAAATATTTGTGTCAGAAACAGGCGAAAATTATTAGAATTTTACGAAATTGTTTTTAAGTCACAATTTGAATATCAAATGACGCAAACTAGTTTGCATAAAGAACGAATTCATTAATTTATATTAGAAAGGTGTATGAGAATATGAAAAACTAGCTTAACATTTTAAATTTTCAAAAAATTTAAAGCTTTAATGAAAATCCTACTTTTACTTTACCAATAAACACATTTTGCAATATTATAAAATATACTTAGGTAATAATTTGGATCAAAGTTAAATAATAATCAGAATATATAATGTACCCTAAATTATAAAGTTCATGTCAACATTAAAAAATAAAGTTTAATCGGCCTCAAATGTTAAGACGGATTTATCAAAGAATATCGTTTTTCATACAATCCTACGTATTATGCTAGTGGTGTTCGTAGGCATACAGACGAAAAAGCACACGTTTTGGAAACGAAAGTAATATGACATATCGATATCCCATAATTTACATTGTTACAGAACGATCTCTGCACACATGTAAATAACACTCAATCATGAAAGGTAATATTTGAAATGGAATTAACAGAATGAAGCAAATCGAAAACAAAATAATAAGGAACTCTGAGAAATGGTTTTGAAACAATTTTAAAAATACGGAAGGAAATTACATTTTCTCTATCATGGACGTTTAGAGTCCAACACAAGAAATATTATGGGTATTCTGATGTTCATACTGGAGCTAATGGGAAACTTATGTGCCAAAACTTTCTACCTCCCTGCCCCAAAGCCTCCGTTCTGAGCAAGTGTGGACAGAAGGAGGTAACAGCTGTGCAAAGAACGCCCCACGCTGTCGCCAGGTTCGGAGGTGGGAAAGAGGAGAAAGGCCAAACCGGCCTGTCCAGTGGTCGAGTTTTGTGCTTTGGTTGGTACGCAACCTACGCCAGGCGGTCCCTGTTGGTTCTACTATCTTTTCCCAGTGTCGTGACGAAATGCAATCGAGGAAAACTCTGACTTTATTGCCGTAAACTTATTTCAGGGATCAAAAATGTAATGATAGAGTTCTGTGATGCCAGGGAAATATCAAAGTGGTTGATGTACGGTATCTTAAAATGTCAACTTTACGACACAAAATATACTTCCAAGTAAGTTTGAGATAAACGATTTAAATACGCGGTGCAACAATTAAACATGAGTGACAAGAAGTATGAAGCAATAAAATGTAGCAAAGTTTATGACAGAAAAGTTGATTAAAGTTGTGAAAGACTTTCCAATGTTTTAACGAGAAACAAATGAATTAGACAAAATAATTTATGGCGACCTTTGGCACCAGGCCTTATAAGCAGCGCATGTGCAGGCGGATTCCAGCGGCCGAGGGACCGTCAGCTTTCCGGCGGAAGTAGCCTTGGTGTCAACGAACAGCGGGGTCAAGGGCCAGCGATGCGGCCAAGGTCAACCAACGCCACGCATGCCACCGCTCCCGCCCCCTCCCCCACCGCCGCCGGGTGGCGCCGCAACGGCGGCGGGGGCGGCGGAGGCAGCACTGGCGCCTGCCGACGAGCGGAACTACGGGCGCTAAGATACTACCGCCGAAACATGCACAGACCCTGCAGCTCAGTTACGCTTGGCGAATATTTCGTCGACCGACCATACAAAGCAAGAAGAATATTCGGACGTTTTCCTTACAGAAAGGCCATTATCGTACACATCAAACGTGCATTTATAAATCAGAGTAAATTTGCTGGTTAAAGTGGCTCTCAGGATGCCCAGATATAAATGTAGCGTTCGCAAGGATATAGTATTTAGCCTCAAAGACTGTAGTCTAAAATGTACTTTTATGGCCGACATGTGTCTATAATGTAATTATAACAACCTACATTGATGTTTGACGAAATTCTCTGAATCATCACTATCAATCGCTGTTAAAATTTAATACCGTTTTTAAAGAGACGCAAACTGATAGGCTGGGGACAGTGTAGACGCAATATCTCAATTTTCGCGAAAATATCTCTCTAAATTGATTCCAAGCCTTTTAATTCAGATTCCGTTTTAATTCGGAATTTTCATGAACTGATCGGTAACAAAATGCATTTTTATATATAAGAAAAAATGGATTTTAAATATAATTTTGGATTATAGGACGAGTAGCAATAAAGGATGTTGTCTTTATTATTATTATTATTATTATTATTATTATTATTATTATTATTATTATTATTATTATTATTTAAAAGACTGTTTTAATGGATTAGCTATCATCTTCAGATCTGCTGACAAAGTCAGAATTCAATGATAAAAATATACTTTTAGCTAGTCCTTCACAGCGTATTGCCAGGAGTTGTTTTTACTCGAGTGATATACAGATAGTTTATCGCGTTTTCAGTCACCCTACCCAATGACTTCGAAGTCTAATTTAGCGATCATTACATGCAGCTAGTTCCTCATTCTAAGTTTTCATCCTGACCTGTGAATTGAGAACCTTCTCCTGTGCTCAATTGCGACCGTAGAACGCGTACATATGTTATCAATGAATAGCTTGTTATCAATGACAAGCAAATTACTCAACATTTGAATAGTCTACTTCTACTATTTTTATCCTAGATTTAATATAAAAAGTTTCTAAGAAATCTGTTTCCACTCTCCTGTGAATTTTAGTTTCTAGAAAGTATGAGCTGCAAGCGCGATGCAGGTAACTTAGAAACAATTGTCAAAAAATATTACGGGTATGCTTGTATCTAACTCAAGCTGTGAAAACTTACGTCTTTTGGATATCTTCGGTTTTGAATCAACGTATTAAAATGGAACATATATTTCCTACCAAAAGACAATTATCTTCGATGACAATTGTCATTCATACATCTCAGTACTGTAAATTTGCTTTGGGAGATTTACCATTATTATTATTATTATTATTATTATTATTATTATTATTATTATTATTATTACGAACCTATTCAACTCTAACATTCTTAATGCAAATTATAAAATTTGGCAAACAATACTGTTGAAATATATATGAATATAGTCAAATATTAAGATTCCATGGCAAATATAAATTGAGAAATGCATGAATCAATATACAACTACAAAAAACAGAAAGATGTTAGTAAACCCCGTCGCTTTTGTTACAACGATAAAAAAATATTGAATATATAACAAAATAACATAAATTGGTTATTTTCTAATATATGTTAAGGCTTCTTTTACGTTAATGTTTAAGAGTTATGTAGCAATACTTATTTTTAAACACAGTGACATTCACCATATTCATTTAGCGTTGACTAATTGAGCATTTCTGACTTCCGGAAGTACCACGAATGACGAGTAGCGTACGTGTACCTCGCGAACACGCTCATTTCAGAGTCCCTTGTGCAGCTGAATAGGTAATTTTCAAAAAAAATCTTAAATTTTTGAAAATTTAAACGTTTTAATGGAAATGGCACTTTCTCCAGGGAATTCAGTGCATTTTACAATGTATTGTGTTCTGTGTATTGTACTTATAAAATGTTTAAAGAAAGTTTTTGCTTTGGTGTCCGAACAGACACCGCCCTAACAAACAGCTGATCACAATTTCAAATAATGTAAAGAAAAGTCCACAAGAAAACATTTGATATTTCGAGAAATTTTTAGATCATTTAAAATAGTGGTGTCTGTAAATGAATTGAATTATAAAAATACTGGTGTAATTTAAATATTAAAACAAAGCTTGTTTCCAACATTTTATATTTTAAATGTTTGAAAAACTCAGTATTTAATCACTTCTGTCATGTAATCCAAATCTTTAGGGAGTATCCATTAAAAAAATCATTTAGCCACTGGGATTGTCCACAAACAGTCAACTGTTTGAGATAGTGCGTTTCCATCTACATGTTGACATCAATTTTTTTTCCGTGTTACGTGACTTTTCGTATATTAAGTGCGTACTAGTTCATAGATGAGAAAGCAAAAATAGTTAAGGACCATAAGTCAGGGAAAATTTAATTTGGGTGAAAACTCAATATTTGGTTTATCGGAATAATTTTAAGTTTTATAACTTAATTCAACGAAAAATTTAAAAAAAGCATAGCCCTGTAAGAAAGCAAAAATTACATTTTTATCAAAGAGTAATACTATTTTAATTTTGCTTACTACAAAATATATTAATACGAAATGTCACTATAAAGGGAAATATGACGTTTATAAATATTTAGTAAAAATAATGATCCCAGAAATGGGTGTCTAAAATACAGACATGTGCTTCCGTTGAACAATTTTGTCTCCTATTTTAGACAAGCTACAACTCAAAATTAATATATTCGTTGCAATAAAACTATCTTTATTAGGTTCATAAAAGTGTTTCACTTCTTAAAAAATCATGAAGATATACTTTTGTCTCTTGCCATTCCGGTATGATCCCTGCCCTGTGCACTATTAACATGGATTTAACTTCTGCACGCTAGACACACGTACGCTACTGTTAGTGAATAGTAACGTGTCGAAACGACAACTCTTCTGAAATAACTAATAAGAAAATTAAATATCTGAGAATAGTATTATGCAATTCCCTATCTTTAAACATTAATTTCAAATAGCATTACATGGTTAATGCGTATTTACGTCATTCTGTTTTCATTATAACTTAAATAAGCATCTATAACAATTAGTCATGCAAGGCTAGGTTACAAAAAGCACATGAATGTTTACAGCAAGTGCATGCTACGGGAGATGAGCTAACTGCTGGAGTGCTGCGAAGCAAGGGTTTCCAAATGGAGCAATTCCCTGAGGAGCATGCGGGCGCCTACAAGGCGCGTGCCAGAGAAATATACTCACCACAGACGACGCGATCAAACGGGCTCATCCAATCTGAGGAGAAAAATAAAGAGAACAAATATCGTTAAATTCGATTTTCCATCCTTGCTGAAAAGGTAAGCAGAGAAGAGTGCATACTTATGTCGGAATTGAAAAACAAAACAATTTGTAATTACTTCTCAAACAAGTATTATTGTTCTATGACGATCTCCATAATATATTATGTTTATAATACATGCAGAGTACTTAAATTTATTTATACTTATTTATACTTATATTATTATTTATACTTTACAATTATTTATATTATTATACAATTTAATACGTACAAATTATGTCTATTTCTAAAAAGTAAGTATTTAGTTTACACTTAGATCGTAAATTAGCATACATTTTGCTGCAATAATAAAACCTCTATTGTGTACACATACGAATTGGCATGGGATTCTGGGTAATCCGAATACGAGTACTTCACCCATTTTCTTTCTCGAGATTCATTTGTAATAGGTATTAGAAAAAAACGACACAAAACTGTTGTCATGACTTCAAACATGAAGAGAGAAAGACGGGAGAGAGGGAGAGAGAGAGAGAGAGAGAGAGAGAGAGAGAGAGAGAGATGAGAGAATGAGAGAGATGGAGGAAGGCAGAGAGGGAGAGAGAGATGGAGGGATGCAGAGAGAGAGATAAAGATATATATATATATATATTATATAATATTATATATATATATATATTGATATATATAGAGAGAGAGAGAGAGAGAGAGAGAGAGAGAGAGAGAGAGAGAGACAGAGCGAGGAGGAGGAGGAGAAAGCGAGACGGATCGTATTGCTCGTTCCCTGCTTCTCAGTCGTGTGATAGCGCACCGCGCCGCCCCCGGTCTTATGAGACGCCCTTCATGATGTTTGTTTATGTGCTCGCAGCGTTCCACGCGCGGACCGGCGTCGGCGACGCCCCCGGCTGTTTACATACGCGGCACGACGGCGCGACGCGGACGCCTGGACGCCGCGTGTTCGGGGTGCAGAAGCGCGGCGCCGCCTCGGCCCTCACGCGCGCGGCCTCCAGCGGGCGACCCGCCCCGATCCTGGATATCACCTAAGATATTGCACACTCGTTCCGCCCGAGCCGAGATTCCTCAGGCCTGTTGAGAACGTTTTATGGTCGGGTGGCCGGTAGACATGTAAAATAATCAGGGGCAGCGAGTACTCCCGCCGTAAATCGGAGACGGATTTAAACCTTCTTATCTCCGCGTTCGATGTTTTCGAAGTCCGTAACGAAATATGGCCCTCGCGTCCGAAACAAAAAGGTGACGGGCGCCGTGTTCCTTTTGTTCGAGCTTTTAACGCGCCTCGCCTCCGTGCAAATAAACACGGACTCACGTCACGTGGGCGGGTCGCGCGTGTTCCTTGGGCGAGGATAAGGCGAGGAGAGGAGAGGAGAGGAGAGGAGAGAAGAGGAAAGGAGGGGAGGGCGCTAGTGCAGACGGTTCCCAAAGCGGCGGAGGCTCAGGAATAGGGATACGAGAGAGAGCGAGAAGAATGACGGACTCGCGAGGAAAAGAAATGTCGACAGAGACAACCAGACACATACAGCTAATATTTTGTCGATTTTTCGAGAGCTCTAAAAAATTGGAAAACGCGATATGTCATTTTGTAAAATGTTTGATTTTTGCGTGAAAAAATCGCTTTCGTGTAATATTTTAACAGAAAGGGCAGTCATTGCACCATGTCGTATCTTCCAAATCTTTGCGAAACTTTGGTTCAGTAAAAACCGTTGAAAAGTGTGTGACACTACAGAATGCAACTGATTCAACATTTGAGAAGTGCTTACTTGTTCACGATTGGCACAAAAATTGGCATATTTTTGCTCAAAGACGAATGGAAGTCAATAATGCATTTATCTCAATTAAATTATTTCAGTGCTTGTCTGGGGAGTCTACATAAGTGCGATATTATTCCGAATCTGAAAACTAACTGTTTGTTAAAAGGTAAAATTCCGTCAATTTTTGTACATAATATAGCAATACTTTTATTCATGTATATTTCAGTTTTATCCTGACACGGTTCCATTCTTAGCTCCGGTTTTCAATTTGAAGCTTTTATTGGGAATGATTATTGCCCCGACCTTAAAAAAAGTGTATGCACTTTTATGAGAAGAAAAATCGCAAGCTGTTATTATTTATCAAATAACCATTTACCACATAAATAAAATACCACGTGTAAAGCTCTAAAATAATAGTACTAAAATTCATGGGAAATCTTTTGCCAAATGTTAATGTGTATTCAAAAACGTTTTATCTTTTCCGAACTTTTAATTATATTGGTATTTACATTAAACTCAAACGGTTGCACGTTATAAGCCACTTCTATTGTTTACTCAAAGTATTATTAGATGAACAACCCAATCGCTCGTGTTTCGTGCCGCGGAAGGGACTCGGTGACATGCACGAGCACTGTTTCCAGCCCACTCTGCGGCAGCAGCAGCCGCCGCCAGCTGTGGCTCCCAGTACAAGGCGGAGCGCGTTAAAATTCGTGCCTGCCGCTGAGTCGGCGGAGGCGTGAGGGGCGCCGGAATCAGCCGTCTGCGAACCGAGCACGCGAGCACGCGCGGGGGCAGGGGGCGCTGCGGGAAGCGTGACGGGGGCGTGAGAGCGCACGACGAGCACGCGTTGGCTTCGCGACTGTTCGGACCGCGCTCTTTCGCTGGGAAAAAATCGTATTCGCGAAACCCTAAGCAAAAATATGTGGAGGCAGCACCATCATCCATTGAGGGTCTAGTTTAGTTTTAATGCATAACAATAATTAGATACAATATCAGATATTGATTATAAATTGAATTATTTAGATTTATTCATATTTATAGCTGAGCTGTTATAAAAGTTACTCCGTTATTCTTTATTACTCCCAGGGACGTCAAGATGCTAAAACAATGTATGAATATTATTTTCACTCTTTCAAGGCAGAAAATTTCCAAAAATTGATATTGGTTTTATATTATTTATGTGCGAAAAGTCAAACCTTTATAGACTTAATACAAAATAACAACGGTTTTGGGATAAAACTGTAAGACATCTATATCTCCTACAAGTCTGCGAAATGTCTCATTCTATTCGTAATTAACTCAAAGACTTTGGAAAAAATATGAAGTTTAATGTTATGCATGAATATAAAGAAACTTTCATATCTCATGACATAATTAATTTGTGTAGCGTAATCAGTGATAGTAATTCCACTACATTCCACTACATTCCACTTTCAAAACTTCTTATGTCTAATTACGATCTCTTTGTTTCACTTAAAAGTGCTATAAGAGGCCGAATATTTGCCTCCGACCTACAGGTAAGGAAGCAGTAACTTGCTACTTCATCGACTCTCCTTTTTTCTGAGGTTATCGGAAAGTTGGTGCAATGATGGACAAAGTACTACATTGAAAAGCATGATGATTATGTTTGGAAATAGGCTCATTGTAAATTTCGAACTGATCAATTATAAACATTGAGCGCTAATACTCATTTACTTACCATAGTATTTATTCATGGCAAATAATATTCCTTGTTGATATTTGGGTTTGAACGAATTTGTTGATGCCGTTAATATGTAACTTGTACGTTAGCAAATTACATCGGTTTATAAGTTTAGTTCAACAATCAAGAACTAATTTTACAAGACAAACGAATAGACATTTCACAGTTTTATTAAATTTTAAATTACGAAGAAAAAACAGATGAAGGATCCCTAACTGTTTCAACAATCACTTCAAATACCACCTGTCACCGCTGAACATGTAAATGAAACTGTGCGCCGAGGATGCAATTCTACAGCTCTGACTAAACTTCCATTCGCCTCTACCCTTCTGCGTTCCCGTACATCCTCACACGTCCCCTCCTCGCATTTCGGTGCCCGGGAAAAGGTTGGATGTCCCTCAGGGCTCTCGACTTTGGACCGACCACATCCAAAGAACGGGCCTATTCCGCATTCGACCGCCCTGCAGCCATCGCAAATAAATTATTCATGCGTTCCATCGGCGCACTTCCAGCGACAAATTTGATTTCATCCGTTTGCACGTCCTTTCTGGATCGGAATAAAATAGGATGCTTTGGAGTAAACAAAGTACTAGCGTTTAAATGACTCAAACATAGTGTAGCTCTCTTTCTGAAAGTGTTATAAAAGTACGCGTAGATTCAAGTCCTGAATCGCACGATATCGAAAGGAACTCGTGATTATAGCAAAACTAGTTATTATATTATAAAACTAGTTATTATATTAGCAGGTGAATATTTACGTTCTCCAAAATGTCAGAATAAAGTAGAACCAGCTTCGAAGCATGTTTCGGACTTTTGCCGGCTAATGTCATCAGCAAGCACAAGATGGATAGAGTAGGTGAAGTGTACGTTATCCTAAGAAGAAAGAGCAGACATGTGGTAAACAAGATTTGCATTGGTGGAGAGTTTTTCTATGGCTATTAAGAGTGAAAGTGTGTAGTATCGAGTTCCAGTGTGCCAGTGTGTCTATTTACATGATTACCATCTAACCTAATATATTCTCCTATTTATCTCTATGGATGCTTGGCTACCTATTTATGAGTAGTCGACGAGACTCCGAGATTAGTAATTTACATTAAACAACCTCGATACTGTACAACGTGTGATTTCCAACGCATTGTGTGTAAAAATACTTTAGGCGAACACATAAAGCCCCTCACACTCTACCTAGTACCTGACTTTTGCTCGCGCTCTGTGGCCAATATAAACATTTGCATAACATAGATATAGTTCAAAATAATCCGTTTATTATCATTCATACAGTCTTGTTCACATCGTCCAGCTAGTGTGCAAATAAACTGGATATTCCTAATATTAGCCACATTTTGCACTTTAGCAATAACGTAAACAGTAATAGCGGTTTTATCAAAGTTGCAAAGAACATACATCAATTGGGCTACAAGTTAGTTGCAAAATAAGTTTCGTAAAACAGTAATGGCAATACGAAATTGCAGAATTAGATGTGATTAGGTGCATTTTGATCTGCCGAACCTTAATTTATCGTTTATTTTAA